AGAGAGGAATGGGGAGGGCCAGCCCCACCTCTACTGGAGAGGAAAGGCTCAGGAAGGGGTGTGGTGGGCAGGGGTAGGACAGCCTCCCACCTCCTCACGTTATGCTGATAGGAACACACACATTCAGATGCCCTTTGCAGAAAGACATCAGAGGTTCTTCTTTATTTTTTCCCTCTGTGTCTGGGTTTAATTGTTTGGGGAATGTCCCACAGAAAAGGGATTTGAGGATACTCACCTGAGCAGAGAGGACAGTGCGGAAGCACTGATGGTGGCATGATTTCCCTTAAATAAATGCTACACACAACGGCCCCCAAGGCGGGGAGGGGCGGCCCTGCGGGAGACCCCGCGGGGCGTGGCGATCCCCCCCATCGAGGCGTGGAATGGGGTGTCAGTGGTCATGATCAGAAGGGTTTCGTCCTAGAGCCCCGCCCTGCGCTACCATGATCTGGCCTGCGAGGACGTTGGAATTTCTGGAAGTTCAATGGTCTGTAACCGTGAGGGGCCTCCGCTGCCCTGAGGTCCGGTGTCTGGGCAGACGGGGTGCCTAGTTGACCCTCTTCAGCTCATCGTACAAGACCAGCACGAAGGCCCCGCACATGCCCCTCAGAGGTTCGACCAGGCGTCCTTGAAGAAGGCCTTGCCGCCCTCGTCCTTGAAGATCTTCCGCCAGCAGTCCATGGTGTCGGTGTACTGGATGTCGGCTCCTTTGCTCCCCGACTGCATCATTATCTGTCGCCGCACAGTGTCAAAGGGGTAGGACACCAGGCCCTGCCACAGCCGTCACCGACTGGGCGATCATCCAGTTGATGAAGATGTGGGTGTTCCTGGGCTCAGGGAGCATGACTTTGGCTGTGACCTACACCCCGAAGTAGCTGCCCGGTAGATGATGATGCCTTGCACAGAGACGTTGAAACCGTGGTACATGCCCCGATGCTGTCCGATTTGGAGATCTGCACCAGGCAGCCTACCAGGCTCTTGAACTGGCGCTCAGCGCCTGATTTCCCCTGGTCGACCACCAGGTGGTCTGGGCGAAGCCCAGGGGGTAGACAAGCAGAGGGAGGTGGCGCCCACGAAGTACCTCCAGAATTGGGTGTGCTTGTCTGCGCCCCCCAGGACGACCTGCTTATACTTATCCTTGAAGGCAAATTTGAGGGCTTGGGTGAGGAAGTAACAGATGACACTGGCTATGTTGCTCTGCCAGAAGGACAGCACGCCCTGCTCCTTGGGGATGCACAGGATGCAGTCTATGATGTCCTTGTACTGCTTGTCGGCCGTGATCTGCTGGCTGGCATGTTGCACCTGCTACAGCAACTTGACCCGCTCCATCGGGGCCACGGCCATCATGGAGATGGCGGCTGGGAAGCCTCCGGCAAGGAAGTCCTTGGCGAAGGAGATGGCCTCTTCCATCCTGGAGGCTCTGCGCAGGGAACCCCAGGGTGCGGAGCAGAGCAGAGGAGCAGAGAGGAGCCAGGAGGGTGGCGCCGCTGGCTGAGAGCTGCAGCCGTTCCCGGGACAGAAAGGTCCAGGAAACTCAGAGATTCTTGAATCACAAAGTGGAAGCGTTCACAAATCTCCCATCACTCAGTTCCCAACAAGAGCCTCACGCTGTGGAAGAAAATGATCATGAGCAAACTCAGTTCAGTGGCTGTAAGTAGTGACTTTCTCAACAGCCCACTGCAGGCTCAATATGGCCCAAAGAATCTCCATCACCCAGTCCTGTCCCTTTTGCCACAACCCCTGCTATCATCAGGGTCTCACCTTTAGAAGCCGTGAGAGAAACATCAGAGCCATGGGCACTATCGCTGCCTGGGGTAGAACAAAACAGGACAGGGTCAGAGCCCCCAGTAGAGGAGATTAAGGGAGAAACTATGGGGGTGAGGTCCCCCATGGGCTCCCATCTGCACTGTCACAAGGTCTCAGGGGTCACCCTCCATACTCACTGGCAGCCTGGGCATAGCTCCCTCCTTTTCCACCTGTGGGAAGAAAACATCCCATGAGAAGACAGGGAGGAGGCAGGGCCATGAAGTCCTAAAGGAAGTCCTAGTCCTGGAGCCCAGAGAAGTTTCCAGAACTGTGACTACAGACCCAGGGCAGGATCAGGAAACCTGAGGAAAGTACACGTGTGGGGACTGGACCAACCATCCTCCGGAGGTCTGTCCTCAGCAGGGACCTTCCACCCTGACCTGGGAGTGCTGGGAACCAGGCCCCATCACTAGAATCAAGGTGACGAATCTGTCCCTCATTTCCACACGTGTCTTACTAAAGAGTGAGTGTCAGCAAATAGGCCCCACACTGGGCAACCACACGTGTGGAGATGGTACTTGCCCTTAATGAAGCAGAACACACTTCTACCTGGGCTGGCAACCCCCAGTGAGACAAGACACTCAGGCCCCACCCCTTCCCTACCTGAGCGCTTCCTCCTCCACATCACAGCTCCAGTGACCACAGCTCCAGTGAGCACAGCTCCAAGGATGACCAGGCCCACAACCAGGCCCACAGGGGGGATGGTGGCCCAAGGAGGCCCATCCCCCGCAGGCCTGGTCTCCACAAACTCCATGTCCTGGGTCTGCTCCTCCCCATCACGCTGCCAGCTCAGGCTGATGTCCGCAGGGTAGAAGCCCAGGGCCCAGCACCTCAGGGTGACCTCACGGTCAGAGATGGGGTGGTGGGTCACGCGTGTCTTTGGAGGGTCTGAGAAGAAGGGGAAGGAAATTCAGGAACATGGCACTGTCAGCGGACCCTGCAGCAGCCCTCATGTGACCACCCGAGCGTGGACAGGGCACCTGGGGTGGGCGAGGGAGCACACAGGCACCACCAGCCTGGACAGCGCACCTGGGGATGGTCTCTCCTCTTTAGAAAGTTCTAGTCAGAGTGACACAGCCCAGGGCAGGAGGCAGGTCTCAGGGGAGAAAGGGATTTCTGGTCCTGTCCTGGGCGGAGGCCAAAGGACTCAGAAAAGTCGGGGTCAGACCTCAGACACACTGGGGGAGGGGCAGGGAGCAGGGCCTGAGGGAGCACGTCCCCCATGGGTCCCAGAGCCACTGCAGGGCCAATGGGAACCGCTGCTCAGTTCCTTCAGGCTGGTCTCCCCTCTAATTGTCCCTGAGAGACTGCACCCCTCGGTGTCCCTGAGAGAAGGGGGGGCGTCCCTGGATCTGAAAAGCCAGGCGGACTCAGTCTCCTGGCCCACAGGAGGGGGGTCTGACACTGACCCTGTGTCCTGTCTCCTTGTGGAGCCCCAGCCCCAGGGGAGAGGAGGGAGGCCCCAGGCCCCGGGTACCTGTGCGTTTCAGAGTCTCCTTCCCCATCGTCAGGTATCTGCTGAGCAACTCCAGGCAGTCATCCTGCAGGTAGTGTCTCCTTTCCTCGGCCTCACCATTTTCCTCCCACTTGCGCTGGGTGATCTGAGCAGCCATGTCGGCTGCGGTCCAGGAGCTCAGGTCCTGGTTCAGGGCGATGTAGTCGGTGCCATCGTAAGCGTACTGGTGGTACCCGCGGAGGAGGA